CCGCCGACGAAGGGCACTGCTCCTCTCCTCAGCGCCGACGGCAGCACTCTCCTGACTGAGAAGACGCAAATCCTACAGCGATGGGCCGAGCATTTCCGAGGCGTCCTCAACCGCCCTTCCGTCATCTCCGACGCCGCCATCGAGCGCTTGCCGCAAGTGGAGACCAACGCGGACCTCGACCTCCCGCCATCTCTCCAGGAAACCATCAGGGCCGTGCAGCAACTCTCCAGCGGGAAAGCACCCGGATCGGACGCGATCCCTGCTGAGGTCTACAAGCACGGAGGTCCCCTACTGATGGATCACCTGACTGCGCTCTTCCAGGAGATGTGGCGTCAAGGTGAAGTCCCGCAAGATTTCAAGGACGCAACTATCGCGCACCTATACAAGCGAAAAGGGAATCGCCAAGTCTGCGACAACCACCGCGGCATCTCCCTACTGAACATCGCCGGGAAGATCTTCGCTCGCATCCTGCTCAACCGCCTCAATAACCATCTGGAACAGGGCCTTCTACCGAAAAGCCAATGCGGCTTCCGTCGTCATCGTGGGACCACGGATATGATCTTCGCAGCCCGTCAACTTCAGGAGAAGTGTCAGGAGATGCGAACCCACTTGTACTCTACCTTCGTGGACCTGACGAAAGCCTTCGACACGGTGAATCGTGAAGGACTGTGGAAGATCATGCAGAAATTCGGCTGTCCGGAGCGATTCACTCAGATGGTGCGTCAGCTGCACGACGGTATGATGGCGCGAGTCACGGACGACGGAGCTGTCTCAGAGGCATTCGCAGTGACCAACGGAGTGAAGCAGGGCTGTGTGCTGGCGCCTACCCTCTTCAGTCTCATGTTCTCTGCCATGCTGATGGACGCCTACCGCGACGAACGCCCCGGGATCCGCATCGCCTACAGGACGGACGGTCATCTCCTGAATCAACGGCGGGTGCACTTCCAATCGCGCGTATCCACAACCACCGTTCACGAACTCCTCTTCGCCGACGACTGCGCCCTGAACACCACCTCGGAAGCGGAGATGCAACGGAGCATGGACCTATTCTCCGCCGCCTGCGAGAACTTTGGGCTGGTTATCAACACGCAGAAGACGGTGGTGATGCATCAGCCGCCTCCCTACTCAGCCACAACCCCCAACGCGCCGCAAATCAACGTGAATGGACTCAACTGCAAGTGGTAGAGAACTTCCCATACCTGGGCAGCACGCTCTCCCGCAACACCAAGATCGTCGACGAAATCGCCAACAGGATCTCGAAAGCCAGTCAAGCCTTCGGTCGCCTCCACAGCACAGTTTGGAATCGTCATGGTCTCCAACTGAGCACAAAGCTGAAGATGTACAAGACCGTCATCCTGCCGACGTTACTGTACGGAGCAGAGACATGGACGGTGTACACGAGACAGGCACGCCGACTGAACCACTTCCACCTCAGTTGTCTCCGTCGCATCTTGAGGCTGAACTGGCAGGATCGAATCCCCGACACGGAAGTACTGGAACGAACGGGAATCCTCAGCATCTACGCCATACTGAAACAAATGCAGCTGCGCTGGAGCGGCCACCTGTTGCGCATGGACGACGAGCGACTACCCAAACGACTCTTCTACGGAGACGTCGCGACGGGTTCTCGTCGTCAAGGAGGCCAAATTCGCCGTTACAAGGATACCTTGAAGTCCTCCCTGAAGCGCCTGCACATCAACCCGACCAACTGGGAAGAGCTCGCTCGCGATCGTCCGACATGTAGTAGAACAGTGAAGACGGGCGCTGCTATCTACGAAGCCAACCGAATCGCCGCCGCCAAAGCGAAACGCGAAGCCCGCAAATCACAAGTTCGCCCAATACGCAACGCCGCCGCACAACCTCTCCCTACGTGTCCTCGATGTCAACGGACATTCCGGGCACGAATCGGACTTGTTGGACATCTTCGAACCAACTGCACCTCTCGAACTGCTCCAGCCATCGTTCCCCAGCCCGCCGTTTCCTCGTCCTCTGTTCCGCCAACTAACTCTGACACTCCTTCTGCACCACCACTTCCATCCTCCTCCTTCTCCTCCACTGCCCCTGCGGCGGCCGTTCAGACTGCCGTCTCACACATCACCAACCCCAACACAACAACCGACATCACCTCTCCCACCTCTCCCGATTCCAGTGATGAGGATCAGGATTACACCTGCCCTCACTGTGACCGCACCTTCACCTCACACATCGGCCTGGTCGGTCACTTGCGAATCCATCGCACAGAGACTGGCGAACCAGTGCCTGGAGCACCAACCTACACCCACCGCACTCGCCTCCACTGCCCACAATGCCCTCGCACCTTCCGGCATCGCATGGGTCTATTCGGCCACATGCGCATCCACGAGAGCGGAATTGACCACAATTCCGGTACAGCCACGACATCCAACACATCCACCACGCCCAGACCAATCCTCGCTCCACCGTCACACGCGTTGACCACCACCGCCACCAACACCACTGCTTCCTCTACAGCTGACACCGACACCGCCGACCTCTCATGCCCACATTGTCCACGCACCTTCACCTCACGCATCGGCCTGGTGGGTAACTTGCGAATCCATCGCACAGAGACTGGCGAACCAGTGCCTGGAGCACCAACCTACACCCACCGCCCTCGCCTCCACTGCCCACACTGCCCTCGCACCTTCACGCATCGCATGGGTCTATTCTGCCACATGCGCATCCACGACGACCTGCGGTAGACATTCGCCGGTCACACCACACATTCCCTCACTCCCTACCTCCTAACACCATCACCTCACCAAACATCAATCCTCACACACCTCATGCACTCAACTGCCGCCTCCCACGCATGTGGGAAGTGTGCATCTCGACTCGGTCCCCATGCGGCTTCGGCTGCACGGGTGACTTGTGTCCAAGACTATCCCGACACGTCAAGCGTCGTGGATAGGAAGGTTGCTGATTGAGGCCCGCTCTCGGTTCACGCAGTTCGTCACGTTGTGTGTGTGTGTGTTGTATGTAGTGGCGGACTGGTGAGCTGGGGACGGGCTGAAGCAGCACCTTCCACGGCACTCTCATGCAAGTGAGAGCCACGCCGTTCAACCCCCGTTGTGTGAAATCCTGGTGTTTGTGTGTGTATGGGGGGCCAGGTCGTGCTTTGGCGCGCGCAGGCATGGTCAGTCGACCATGCCAGCCACCGCGCCCATTCCCCACTCCAGTCTACTGACCGGCTCGGACAGTGGCTGGGGTGTGGGAATGGGAAGGGAGAGTGAGGTCGACGACTCAGCGCATTTTCCTCACTATAATCAATCTGACGCGCTTGAAGCTATCACGGTGCGCTAAAAGCCGTGGCTTGGAAGGTTGCCAACTGACGGGGTACCTTGGACCTCCTCCTTAACGGGAGGCGGTCTGAGAGTCAGGCTGCAATGGCTCCTTTTTAATGTGGCCTTTATGGCATTCCCACCACAGTGTGGGATCCGAGCCAGGCGTTGGCGGCACGCTCAGGTGCGGCTTCGGCCGTGCCAGCCTCCAAATCTCTGTTGTGTTGGTTGAAATCCTGGTTATTGTCGTGTGGACCAGGGGGTGTGGTGGAACGCCAAGGTGAGGATCCGTCCGAGCCATCCACCTGCGGCCTCCCCCGTCTCCGGTCTTCTTGACTCTGTCTTGACGCCGGGCCCAGACGGGGGAGGAGGAGAGAGTGTAGGTAGATGCTACGCAAGTCTACTGGCACTATAAACCCCTGCGTAAGTCACCGTCCCTGCTCACACAATGCAGTCTGTGGGGCACATGGTGGTCATCGTCGAAATCGACGGACGAACTGTCGTGTGTGTGTGTGTGTGTGTGTGTGTGTGGTCATCCCTCTGGGCCTCAGGGTCTGTGGAAGTTAGCTATTCAGAAGGCGAAGATGCAATCATTGGAACAAGAAATTTATTGGCCTGACGTTTCAGATTCTTTCTCGGACGCATTATCAGAGACAGTCGCAGAAAAGGGTAATGGTGGCACAAGGTGTGCATTATTGATAGCACGTGGCTGCCGTGGGACCATTTGCGTACTGTAATGAACAGCTCCCGTAATCACCGCTGGGGTCGTAATTGATGTGGTGGTGGCTTGTCAGCCCGCGTCCGAGTCGTTAATTGTCATCCGTGTTGGATGCGGGTGTGACGAATGCTCGGCAAATGGGCTCACTGTCACTGGGATAGCTGCTCACCCGCGCCATCCCTACGCGACTGATTCCCCTGCCCAGGGTAAATCGCAGCACGGAATACGGTAACGGAGGTCATTGCGCTTGTCGATGGAGTGCGGGCCTGAGTGCCATGACTCGAGCAGCTTGCGGCTCACGCGGTTGTCAACCCTTGCGAGGATTTCGGCCGCAATATGGTCGGGTCCCGACGAATGAGCCGCCACCTGAGTGCTAATGTCTCCCCGGCTCACTGCTGCTGTGTGCTCAGCAATTTGAATTCGGAGTAATCGCCCAGTTTCTCTGACGTAGTTGTTTGTCCGCAACTGCGCCAGATCCGGTAAACGATTCCAGAACCTTCCTGCCATCATCGAACGTGATCAGGTGCTGGCATCCAAAGAACCTCTCAACGCCGTCTTCCCGGACACTTAGTTTTCGATAGAAGAGGCAGAATACAACCAGCTGACCTTCCTGTATGTCCTTGTCTGCCGTAAACATTGTGGTGGCCTAAAAATTAAAGTATTCAGGAAAGCGACGTATACGACTTCAACATCAACCACACGATCAGTCACAAACGCAGTTGCTTAAGGGCGCTATACCGGCGCGTTGATACGCACTGCAGTGAAATAGAAGATGAGGCCAGG